TGCCACATCAACCAGACCGATAAAGAGAAACTAAAGTGTTCCTGTGACTTCCCTGCCAAGACAAGGCTGAGCAGAAGGCACTCTCTACACATCCCTTCAAAGTATCAGATAACCTGCATGCCAGTAATACCTCCAAGACCTTTTCTGTGTTCTTCTCCTGTGATCTTGCAAAATGCTATCAAACTCTACCCTTGTCTACCAATTATAGGTTTTATAAGTGCATCCTTCCTTACCACCTATTTCCTCACCTGCTTATTTCTGTGCCAGTCTTCTCATTTTATCTAGTTCATCCAATTCTTATGTATATTCAGAATTAATGTTCTCACTTTAAAACCCTTGAGAAAATAATTTCTCCTTAAAAATAGAAATGTGATCTTTCACATCAGAATTTTTCATTCATAACTATCCAATTTATTTTATCTGTACCACTTTTTCAAACTACAGTTAATTTGGGGTAAAACGTCAGCTTCATATACTCGTGTCAAAACACCAGAAGTTCACTTTCAATTGCCATCCTATCTGAATCTCTCTCCAGATAGGAGGATGCATTTAACAAACTTTCATTATCTATGTGCCAGACACTGTGCTAGTTGCCACAGATATATATGCAAAAAGAAGGTTTGGTGGAGAGGGAGATGGGCTACTCAGGATTTAGTGCAGTGTGATAAGTGCTATATCCACAGAAAAAGATCCAACGTTGACACAGTGAGAGTCTGTTTACTTAACTTCCCAAAGTCCATGAGTCCCCCTGAACCCCTAGTAGTCAAATACACTAAATAGTTATTTCATCATCCTAACTCATGTTATGAAACAGATATAAAGCAGCGTGTGAAATCATAATGGTTCCAAGCCCTGCTGAGATCTGGAAGTTTAAGTTATTTGAGAACATGAACTAAGCATGACTTGATAAAAGCATCTGGCAAGTTCCCTTTGCCCTGCATTATTACCATCCTTCTTTTTCTGGTTTTTTTCCATTCTCTCTATTCACAGGAAGAATCTCTGTTGCTATAAAAACAATGACCAACTGTGATATCTCTTTGTCTGACCAACTACATTTAAATCACATTAGTATCATCTTTTTAAACAATCTCCATCTAAAAAAACTCTCTCAAAGAGGTGTTTATTCAACCAAGACCAACTTCAGAGTCATAAACCCACCGTATTTTACACAAATATAATTCTCATTTTGGTGAGTCAGAGATGCTTGGTTATTACAAGTTTTGATGGAATACCACTGTATTGCAACGAGGATATAATATAGCTTCTTTAAGTAAGACAATTTTTTTATGTTAAAAAAAAATTAAGAGGCTTGAACACACCAAGAATAGGAAATTAGGGAGGTTATCAAAAAATTATGGGGAAGAGAAAAAAAGGCTCCTGGCTCCAGTGAATTTACAACTTGAGTTATTTTGAATTTCACAAAAGAAACAATTTCTGTCACATACACTGTTCCAGAGATGGAATCTACCTGAGCATTCTACAAAGCAAATACAGAATCAACTTTTTCGGCCATATGCCGGCAATAACTGAACATGGCTGTGAAGGAGAACACAGTCCCAAGGCCCTACCAAGATCCTCCCTCCTTTTCCACTCACAGGGTTTATTGCTAGTCTTTATGGAGAAATATGTGGGCTTCCCTGGTGGCTCAGAGGTTAAAGCGTCTGCCTGGAATGCCGGAGACCTGGGTTCGATCCCTGAGTTGGGAAGATCCCCTGGAAAAGGAAATGGCAACCCACTCCAGTACTCCTGCCTGGAGAATCCCATGGAGGGAGAAGCCTTGTAGGCTACAGTCCATGGGGTTGCAAAGAATCGGACAAGACTGAGCAACTTCACTTTCTTTCTTTCTTTATGGAGAAATATATAGTGTGTATCAAAAAGAGAAAATAGAAAGGAAATGTGGTCCCAAGTCGGCAGTGCTGCTTCCATGAGGTGATATATGGAATTCCAGGCAGGCGTCTGTGGTTATCTTTATTCCAGAGCCTCTGAACTGATCAACTTCTCCCACTATTTTGTCTGACCTGCTCGAAAAGCCAGATGGACCTCTTAGCCCTCACAAGCCCTCCTTCCAGGCTGTGAATGTAATCCAAGTACAACATGTAGCAGATGTAACAGTGGCTGATACGTAACAGATATCAGATATAGCAGATGTAACAGTGGCTGATACATAACAGACATCAGATGTAAAAGACGTAACAGGGGTTACATCTCTGTTGCCTCTGGCTTCCCAGGCAGCACAGTGGTCAAGAATCCGCCTGCCAATGCAGCAGAAGCGGGTTCAATTCCTGGGTCCGGAAGATCCCCTTCAGTAGGAAATGGCAACCCACTCCAGGATTCTTGCCTGGAAAATCCCATGGTCAGAGGAGCCTGGTCCATGGGGTCCATGGGGGTCACAAAGAGTCGGACACAACTGAACATGCACATCGTGCCACACACTGTTGCCTAGAGGGGATGACGTCAGTTTATCAGATCACTGAATTCTCCAGAAATTATATCTTCTGACAACTTTCTCACAATTCTATGTAAAATTAACATGAACGTTTTCACAGAGCTCAGCAAGGGTCCGAACTAAGTCCAGACACCCCTTTTCTCTCACAGATAATTTCCGTTCTCCTCAGTGTGTGGAGTTGGGGAAACTATAGAACACTCTCTTACTCCCTCCATCACCGCAATTCTAATTCTAGTTCCCTGTTTGGAGGCACCTCCAGCTACCACAGGAGAAGGCAATGGCACCCCACTCCAGTACTCTTGCCTGGAAAATCCCATGGACGGAGGAGCCTGGTAGGCTGCAGTCCTTGGGTCGCTAAGAGTCGGACACGACTGAGCGACTTCACTTTCACTTTTCATTCTCATGCACTGGAGAAGGAAATGGCAACCCACTCCAGTGTTCTTGCCTGGAGAATCCCAGGGACGGGGGAGCCTGGTGGGCTGCCGTCTATGGGGTCGCACAGAGTCAGACACGACTGAAGCGACCGAGCAGCAGCAGCTACCACAAACCTGTCCCAATCAAGAGGAACAGTGCGCCTTTCTCCAGACCTTACTCTTTTTTAACTGCCTCAAATTTCCTTGTTCGTGAGTGGACAAATTATTTCCTCGAGCTTTTATTAGCTGACGAATCAGTGCTAAACTTGCAGAAACACTGAGAGGCAACCATGACAGAGCCACCAGATCAGCCTCTGCTTTTGTCTCTTCAAGAAAATAGCGAGAACAGTTAAGAGTCCTGGGAGTTCCCCCGCCCCCACCCCCGGGCCAGACTGTCTGTACTGTCTCTGTCTCTTGGTCTTTGTTTCCAAAGTTCTTAATGTGAGGCTCATGCTTTTCAGGCCAAATCTACCCATCTCCGACCCCAGCAGAAGGCAAGAGTTGCCAGTGTTTCTGCTGCCTCTCTTCCGGACGCTCTTCACCTGCCCAGCGCTCCCTTCTGCGCTAGGAGGGCTTTGGAGGAGTGGCAGGCGCTCCGGTTGCTTCTTGGACCGCTCTCTTTCCTCTCTGCAGAACAGCAGACTGGAGCTTCAGGTGCCGGGCTGCCTTGGATGAAAAATTTCCCCATCTTTCGGCAGTCTTTCCTTAGTCACTCTTTATCCTAAATAACAGACAACCAAGCCCTCTTGGTTGCCTCTGGCCACCGCACTTTCTCAAACCCCCACCCATTCCTCAGGTAATTGCCAATGAACACTTCAATCCCACCAATGCTGGTGCGAATTTGGTGAGTTTTATGGCTCTATATTATCCGAACTGCTCTGGAAAGAAAGCCATGAACTCCTTGACTCAGTATTTTCAGCCCTAGAAATCTTATCTGGAAAAATAATCCACGGTTGAATTATACTATCCCCACTCAAAGCAGTCGTTAAAAGCAGACCATACAACAACATGAAAAACTATGCCTCAAAAAGAAAGAAAAAAGAGAAAAAACTATAACTGCACTATAACTGCAACTGCTGTTGTATTAGCATGAAGAGATCCCTGAAACAGTAACACACCAAATACGATTCGTACTTTGTGATTTCCTATAGTTTGCTTTGTGCTGAAAACAGGATCAGGCTAAATCTCCCCATCCCCTAAGTGTGTTAGTCACTCAGTCGTGCCCGACTCTTTACAACCCCATGGACTGCAGCCCACCAGGCTCCTCTGTCCACGGGATTTTCCAGGCAAGGATACTGGAGTGGGTTGCCATTTCCTTCTCCAGGGGATCTTCCCAACCCAGGGATTGAACCTGGGTTTTCTGCATTGCAGGCAGATTCTTTACTGATTGAGCTAGGAGGGAAGCCCTCCCCATTTCCATAGGACTCAATAAGTCCTTTGTCAAATAACTACACATATATTCACAAAATATTTCCTACTAGAAATTCTCAGAGTCTTGAAACTCAAGTTATTAAGCACCAATTTGCAGCTCCTATATAGGAGGTTTCTCATTGATCATTTAATCTTCATAACAACCCACTGAGCAGGTTTCATGGCCATAATCCTGCATATGAAGAAACAGGTATTCTGTTTATTAAGTCACTATCCAAGGTGACATGGGGGTTTCAGAGCCAAGAGTCAAACATCTGGTGTTCTTAGTGTTTTTCTAGAACCTTACGCCCAAGCTGAATGTCACAATTAATACCATCCCCCAAAACCAAGTTTCTGTCATGTCAGACTGGGGCGATCGCACTGTCATTGGGAGATCTTTCCAGTGTTCTATCACAGACCTCGGTAATAATAACCCTGCTTTCCGAGTGTGAGCTGCATCTTATTAAAATGCCTTCACCAAATCGTAAGAAGCCCAAACCTTTGTATAAGACAGCCACAAAAAGTAGGGGGCTAGCTACTCCCCAACACTGAAGGGGTTCCCATCTTCGTCAGTGGGCCATTTCTCACTTGGGAAAGCCCGAGCATCCTAATGGTGGTAGAGGCGGTCGAGCCGGGCGCCGGAATCACAGGGAGCCTCGCTCCACCGGCCAGGTGACAACCGGGTCGCGCCGCGCGCTTCCCTGGCAGGTCCTCGCAGCCCCCAGGCTTACCTTGAGAGTCTCGTAGGCGGTGGCCACCAGCAGGAAGGCCTCCTCGGCGCTCTGCGGCGTCCGTCCCGGGCCCTCCTCGCCAGGCTCGGGCCGGTAGCGGTCGGGGTGGTAGCGCCGGGCCAGCTGGCGGTAGGCCCGCGCGATCTCCGCCTTGCTGGCCGTGCGGCTCACGCCCAGCACCTCGTAGCAGTCCCGCTTGCCGCAGTAGAGTCCCTCCACCAGGGCCGCCGCGGGCCGCGCGAGCAGCAGCGCGAGCAGCAGGGGCGGCAGCAGCACGAACCAGCGCCGGTTGGCAGCCCCGGCTCCCCGGCGCGGAGCGAACGGGATCGCCATCCCGGCTGGGCCACGGCTCCGAGAGCCCAGCCGCACCCCGGCACTCGGCGTTGCGCCCCACACGGCAGCCCAGGCTCAGCTCCACGTCAGCACGCGGCGCCTCGGCGCAGGCGCACCGGACGCGGCGGCGGCAACCACTTCCTTCACGACCGTTGCTAGGGGAACAGGACGCTTCAGCAGCCCGGCCGCTTCCGGTAGCTCTGGAACCTTGTTCCTAGTCCCGGAGGACTGGGTTTGTTCTCAGTCTGACAGACCTAAAGGATGTCTCTGTCTCTGAGGTGCACTTAACCATGTGTGCAGAACGGTCTACTGTCCCCTTCCCTCGCAGTCTTCAAGGCATCACGACCTCAACGGCTGCGGTTGGTAATCTAGCTTTCTTGCGGTCTGGTTTTCAGCGTCAAGATGTGTGCCCAGGGTTTTAAAGCCGGCTCTCGATAACCCCATTCTGCCTTTCCAAAAGTAAACTAAACTTAGAGATTCTAGACGTTATCTGACTTAAAGTGCATGGCCATCTTGTTCTGGGTTTCTTAGCCTCCACACTATTGACATTTGAACTGGATAATTCTTTGCCTTTTAGGGGCTGTCCTACGCATTCTAAGAGCTTCTCTGGTGGCTCAGAGGTTAATGCGTCTGCCTGCAACGCGGGAGACCTGGGTTCGATCCCTGGGTCGCGAAGATCCCCTGGAGAAGGAAATTGCCTGCAGTATTTTTGCCTGGAGAATCCCATGGACGAAGAAGCCTGGTGGGCTACAGTCCACGGGGTCGCAAAGAGTCGGACACGACTGAGCGACTTCACTCACTTACTCACTACGCGTTCTAAGATGTTTAGCAGCGTCTCTGGTCTCTAACACTAGACTACAGTAGTACCACCACCCTAATCCTGACAATCAAAAATGTATCGGTGCGTTTGTGCTAAATCGCTTCAGTCGTGTCCACCTCTTTGTGACTGTAGCCCTCCAGGTTCCTCTCTCTGTCCACGGGATTCTTCATGCCCTCCTCCAGGGACCTTCCCAACACAGGGATCGAACCCGCCTCATTTAAGTCTCCTGCGTTAGCAAGTGGGTTCTTTTACCACTAGCACCACCTAGGAAGCCCCAGAAATGTATCCTCGTCTTCTCGAATGTGTTCTGGAGGTACAGCTGCTAGAAAAAATACAGATCGTTCAGTTAAATTTGAATTTCAGATAAACATTTTTAGTATAATTATGTCCCAAATATTCCATGGGACTGTATAGAAACCTGAAGAACATGAACATGTTGTTCATGAACATGAACAACAAAGTTGTTTGTATCATTCATTCAGTAAATATCCCTTGAGTCTTTACTGTGAACTAGGTACTGTTGTAAGCTCTGGGGACATAGTGGTGAGTAAAGAAGACAAGGTTCTTGATCTTATGAAGCATATATTCTGGTGGAGGATGACAGACAATAAACAAGCAAATAAATAAACTTAAAGTACAATAGATTCTTTTAAAAAAATGAAACAAGGTAAAGATAGATATATCCTATAACAGAGAACATATACTATATATATGTATATGTATATTATATATATATATATTAAAGAGAGAGAGAAGTAATGGAGACATATAGGAGAGCTGCCTACCTTAAAATTATTAGAATCAAGACAAGTGTAGTTCAGGTCAATTATTCCAGGAAGAATTAATATCTAAACTGACTCTATTTTTTAAAAATTAAATTTATTTATTTTTAATTGAAGGATAATTGCTTTACAGTATTGTGTTGCTTTCTGCCAAACATCAACATGAATCAGCCATAGGTATATCTATGTCAGTTAGGGTCAATTATTTCAGGAGGAATTAACATCAAAACTGACTCTAAAGGACAAATAGGAACCTTCCCTGGCTGTCCAGTGGTTAAGACTCCTCACTTCCACTGCTGGGGGAGTCAATCCCTGGTCAGGGAAATAAGATGCCACATGCCAGTCAGTCTTAAAAAAAAAAAAAACAGAGAGAGAGATACTCACAGCCTTCATGTGTTGTGTAACACAAAGATACTCCATGATATTTTCCCAAATAAAAATTGGCAACATATGAAAAGGCTAGTATATCACGACTGAATGGAGTTATTTTCAGACATACAAGTATGGCTTAAAATTTGAAAACTCAAACAGTGGAATTTACCATACTAAAAGAGGGGGAAAGGACACACATATAATCATCTTAATAGATGCAGGAAATTTTTAAATAAAATTCAGTACTCATTCAAGATAAACAAACGAAGAACAAATAGAGGATAATTTGAGCGGTGGGAGTAAGGGAGAAGTTTTGGGATAAGGAAGTTGGGACGTTAAGTACCAAGAAGAAAAAAGAGACAGTCAAGAAAAAAACATGAAGTTTTTCCAGAAATAAAAGTCTATATGGCTGGATTAGGGGTGTAGTGGGGAATGAGGAGTGGAGGGGATGAAACTGGAAAAAGACAGGCTATGAAGAGTCATTTTATTTCAAGATAAAGAAGTTGCTCTTTATCCTAAGAGCAATGTGGAGCCAGTGTAGAATTTTTACATAACGAAGTGGTACCTTCAAATTTGCATTTCAGAACAATTATTCTGCCTGAGAAAATGAGCTGGGAGATGTTAGGCATACTGTTATGAGATAGTTATCAATCCAAGCAAGCGATGCTACAGGGATATTTCAAGGTGGTAGCACCAAGGATGGAAAAAGAATGGAGAAAAGTGGAGACCCATTTATGAAGAAACAATGGGCAGGTTTTTTTTATTATTATTATTATTACGGAAGAGTGAAGAAGGGGAATGAGTCCTGATAACACTCAGGTTTAAGAAACCAGGTACCATTCCTGAAATTAGGAACACAGAAGGAAAGTAACCTTACAGTGTAAGATGATGCATTCATTTGAGACATGTTCTGTTTGAGATGCCAGCCACATGCACATCGGATCATGTTGTTTCCGTACTTGAAACATGTGATGATTCTTATTGAATCTTGTCTCCCATCAGACTCTTCAGCTATGCAGGTTTCCCAGTCTACTTTATGTACGTTCCTCCTGTAAAAGCTCATTGCTCATTGGTACCTGCTCAGGGTCTCCTTCCAAATGGAAGGAGTTCCCATGCTGCCTGGAGATAAGGGACATTTTCTAATTACAAATTTGGTCATATTGCTGTTCACCCTCAGATTAGCATTCAAATACCTTAGCATGGCCTTCAGGATTCTTTAACAATCTATTCCATCACACGCCCTGCTTCTGTTCATACTGGTCCTTCTGCCTAAAATATCATCCCTCTCCCACTTCAAGACCCTCCCACCCACTGTATCCTACCAGATCTAGCCTAAGCACCTCCTCTATTTGGACTCTTTCCTTCCCAGGTTATAGTCCCAGAGCTGATTTTGAACTAGATAAAACTAACATAGGGAAGGCTCCCTTCAAAGCAGGCAGAACTTTAGCCTGTGGCTGTTACGGATGTGTTGCCTCCACCCTAGAATACAGTACTCTGCAAACTGCATTGCCATGTTCCCAGCTAGCTGGATGTTAAACTCTGCCAACAGAGGGTGTTTGAAGCACACTGCAAGGCTGGAAAAGGAAAAGAAGACTTTTTTTTTTGTTTCTCTGAAAGTAAACAGATCTGTGTGCAGACTTGGTGCAAACCGTGTGGCCCCAGTTTTCTTTGTCACCACCTTAGTGATGGCTCCTGCCGTGGGTTGAATTGTGTCCTCCCCAAAAAGATATGTTCATGTCCTAACCTCTGATACCAGGAAATATGACTTTAATTGGAAGTAGGGTCTTTGCAGATGTAATCAATGAAAGTGAAGTCACTGAATAAGAAGAGAAAACAGATGCACACACAGGGAAGACAACCATGTGGAGGCAGAAGCAGAAATTGGAGTGATGATGCCGGCATAAGGCAGGGAACCCTGAGGATCACCAGCAACCACCAAGAGCTGGGAGAAAGGCATGGAGGAGACCCTCCCTCAGAAGCCCCGGCAGGAACCAAGTCAGTCATGCAGTCGCTCAGTCATGTCCAATTCTTTGTGACCCCATGGGCTGTCTTCCCTGTCCTTGGAATTTTTCAGGCAAGAATACTGGAGTTAGTTTCCAGGGGATCTTCCCCACCCAGGGGCTGAAGGCCTCTTGCATCTACTGCGTTGGCAGGCAAATCCTTTACCACTGAGCCACCTGGGAAGCCCAGAAGGAACCAACCCTGCCGACAACTTGGTTTAAGCTCATAACCTCTAGAAGTGTGTGTACTCTTCAAAATGAGTAAAGTGGTAGATTTTTTTTTTTTGAGTTAATTTTTTTAAATCAAAAAGCCTTAAAATGATCAGGAATTGATAGAGTGGGCATGAAAAATGTACATTTCAGACTTTCATCACCCGTGGGGAGAAAAAAGCATTTTTATAGACCTAAAATTGTCATTAGTGCATTTAGATTTTAGTGAAGGAAAATTTAAAATAACTCTACAATAATACAATGTTAATAGAAATTGGCCATGTATTGAGTCATCATTTAAACATAAGTAATTTCTTGGTCCAAATTAGTGAAACCTTAAAAAAAAAAAGGATTGTCTCTAGAGAACATCATTTGAGAACAAGGCTTTTTCAGACACATTCTGATACTCAGATTCACTTTATAACAGTTATAGCTTAATTACATCTCTCCTACTAAAAATCTGTCAGATTTCCATTTCTTCGGGAGATATTTTTAGCAGTGTGTTGTTCGATTCCACAGGTTAAGCTCTCTTCATTATTATTAAGAACTTCATACATACTAGAAAGACTGCCATTCACTGCTTTTTCGTCCTTCCGAAAAGACACAGGCAGACTTAACAGAGTAAAGCTGACGTCTTTAAAGGCATGCAACAAGAATATTCCCACAATGATTGTAAAGAAGCCACTCAGAGTACCAATGACATCATCAACAGGCATATCTTGCCACTCCTTAAAAAGGATAGCTGAACAAGTTAAAACTGATGTTGTAAAGAACACGTAATATATTGGAGTCACGATAGAAGTGTTGAGTTCAGGTAATTAATCTGTGTGCTCACACAGACTATAAGGCTCAGCAGCAGAATCCAGGTCAGGGGATGTCGTAGCACAGGTTTTCCAGCAAACAGCTCTTTGATAGCAATGCCCAGGCCTTTAGCACAGGAGACTGAAACTGCCCCAATTACAGAGCAGATTGTGATATACACAAGAATGTTTGTCTGTCCATGGCGAGGTCCCACCACAAAGATTAATATCAAGGACACAATGACCACAAGTGTTGCAAAGACCACAAAACCCGGATCTCCTAGCTTGTGAGACATTTCATTTAAAGTCTCAATCTCCTCTTCTTTTGGAGCATGAATGACCATAACTGTAGATCCCAGAATACTTAGCAAACATCCAATTTTTCCATAAAGATTAAGTCTTTCATTTAGAAAGTATGAAGAAAGAATGGCACTTACCAGGACACTGAGTGCTCCTAACGGAGTCACTAGGGTGACTGGTGCAAAGACATACGCAGCAAAGTTGGCCACCTCGGCAGCTCCCATTGACAGCAGTCCAGCCCACCACAACCATTCTTTGAGATAGGCATGGCCACCTTGACCTGCTCTCATGGAGCCTTTTCTGGCAAGTCGCAGAAGGCCTTTTTTTTTCAAAATGAAACTCCCTCCAATGAAAATACTGGAATTCATAGCCAATCCCAGACCAATGTAAAAGTCATACTTTCCATGCCCCTGGCTCATTTCGCTTGTTACTTAAAAAGCTGCTGTGAATCACATTGATCAAGAACAGAGAAACTGTTGGTGCTGGAGGCAGGATGATGCAGTCTTCAAATACAGCAATGAGTCACAATCTGTTTCGAAGTGCAGAGAAGTTCTTCCGTGCTACGTGGGGACAACAATGAACACCCAGAAGGATGTTGAACTCCCAAAGCAGCAGCCAGTGATATAGATATGTAAGTTTAATATGGTCTCTCTTATGAATAAAAGGCTGGAAGAGGTTAGAGATGACTTATTCATTCTCATTTCCTCGTAAATAAAACCCTTTATTCTCATTTAAAGTTTTAAGCCCTGGCAGAGTAGCTCCAGCCTAAGTTGGCAGGCCCGCCGCGCGGCTTCCCCTCCACTATCCGGCCCGGGTCACCTCCGCTCACACCCCGACACAGGCCGCTCCGGCTACCCTCTCCAGAGTTCGCGCGGCCACCGCCTTCGTCTCCGTCCAGTGGGAGGTGCGAGCATCCAGGGCTGCAGCCCTGCGCACCGCTTCCTCCACGGGGGAGCGCCCAGGGGAACTTGTCCCGGACGGCCTCCCTCCCCCACCGCCGCCGCCGCCAGGACCTAAAGAGACAGCGAAAGAGCAAGTGGTAGATTTTATATTACGTTTATAAACAAGGAAAAAACTTAAATAATAAATGCAAAAGGTAGCTACTACCCTTGCGCCTGAGGGTAAAGTAAATAAATAAGGACCTTCGAAACTCAGAGGAGGCTCTTGCCCCAAGTCTGAGATTAATTTTTTTTTATTGTGGTAAAGAATCCACCTGCAATGTGGGAGACCTGGCTTCAATCCCTGGGTCAGGAAGATCCCCTGGAGAAGGGACTGGCTGCCCACTCCAGTATTCTTGCCCGGAGAATCCCATACACAGAGAGCCTGGCAGGCTCTGAGTGACTAACACACCACTTATGTACATACACTGGTTCAGACAGGAAATTGTATTATGTATATTTTGAAGTGAAGTGTTAGTCGCTCAGTCGTGTCCGACTCTTTGCGACCCCATGTACTGTAGCCCGCTAGGCTCCTCTGTCCATGGAATTCTCCAGGCAAGAATACTGGACTGGGTAGCTAGTCCCTTCTCCAGAGGATCTTCCCAACCAAGGGATTGAACTCTGGTCTCCTACATTTCAGGTGGATTCTTTACCATCTGAACTACCAGAGAAGCCCAATGTATATATGTATGTATGTACTTAATATTGATGAATAATTGACATGCACTATCAGTTTCAGGAATACCATTTTAAAGTGTACACTTCAGTGGCATGAAGTACAGCACAGTGTTGCACAACCATCACAATAATCTAGTTCTTAGACCTTTCATCACCCCAAAAGGAAATCCTGTACCTATTAGGCATACATCTAATACTTCTTTTGCCTGTGCCCCTTTGAGTTCTTTTTTATTCCTTTTGATTATTAGCCATGGCCAGATTCCTCGAGGAGGATGCCTAAGCTGGGGTTAGAACTCTGAGGAAAGGTGGCAGCCTGGGAGAAGCACAGAAGGGCCAGATCAGGGTCAGATGATAAGACCAGTCTTAAGGATGCTACATCCTGGACAGAATCACCCTACTCAGACAGGTGAGTCTGAGTCTCTCATTGTAGAAAGCTCCATAAAATAGAATCTGGGATAAAATATTGAAGGCCACCGGATAGATAGTAGATTGAAAAAGTTAGATGGGGTGCTAAAGTTCCTAGAAATATATAAAATGCCGAAAGTGGTGCTTGTATAAATATTAAGGAAACTGAAAGTCATCACCTTGTCTCTCCTGAAAAGAACAAGTGATTACAAAAAAAGAAAAAAAGAAGACTTTCAAAATTTCCCTAGTCATTCTATGACGTTAGTGTAATATGGATTCCAAAACCAGATAAGGGCTGTAGAGAAAGCGATAACAGCTAATTAATCTACCAGTGATTGTAAAAAGCCCTATGTCTTGATCCAGTAGGAAAGGATGTACCACTAACTGCAGCCGCAGGGGCTATCCCGTTGGTAACTTTTTCCCCACAACCCCTGTCCACAGACCAGAGCTTCTTCCTTCCTGACTTTCTTTCCCAAAACTGTAATAGAAGAAGCAGGGAGACTTATCACTTATTGGTTCACGTCATACTATAATAGAGCCCAGGCAAGGAATGAGGTTTAAGATCTATTACCTCCTGTGGCTAAACTGCTTAGGTGAAAACATGTTCAATAAATCAGAACAATCTTCTGGGTGGATTGTGTCAACAAATATTAAATAACTTAAGCAATTACCTCTGAAGCCAAAACATCCTTTTTATCTAATCTCTGGCCTTGACTCTATTTATTTTAGTCCAAAGTTCAAAATTAGATAACTGAACATGGAGATTTGGGATGTAGCCTATCAATTCAGTTCAGTTCACTCAGTCATGTCCAGCTGTTTACAACCCCATGTACTGCAGCACGCCAGGCCTCCCTGTCCATCACCAACTCATGGAGCCTGCTCAAACCCATGTCCATTGAGTTGGTGATGCCATCCAACCATCTCATCCTCTGTCATCCCCTTTTCCTCCCACTTTTAGTCTTTCCCAGCATCAGGGTCTCTTCAAAAGAGTCAATTCTTTGCATCAGGTGGCCAAAGTATTAGAGTTTCAGCTGCAGCATCAGTCCTTCCAATGACTATTCAGCACTGATTTCCTTTAGGATGGACTGGTTGGATCTCCTTGCAGTCCAAGGGACTCTCAAGAGTCCTCTCCAACACCATAGTTCAAAAGCATCAATTCTTCGATGCTCAGCTTTCTTTATAGTCCAAATCACACATCCATACATGACTACCAGAAAAATTATAGCCTTGACTAGACGGACCTTTGTTAGCAAAGTAATGTCTCTGTTTTTTAACATGCTGTCTAGGTTGGTCATAGCTTTTCTTCCAAGGAGCAAGCATCTGCAGTGATTTTTGGAGTAAAAAAACTAAAGTCTGTCACTGTTTCCATTGTTTCCCCATCTATTTTCCATGAAGTGATGGGACCGGATGCTGTGATTTTAGTTTTCGGAATATTGAGTTTTAAGCCAACAATTACACTCTCCTCTTTCACTTTCATCAAGAGGCTCTTTAGTTCTTCTTCACTTTCTGCCATAAGGGTGGTGTCATCTGCATATCTGAGGTTGTTGATATTTCTCCCAGCAATCTTGATTCCAGCTTGTGCTTCATCCAGCCCAGCATTTCACTTGATATACTCTGCATATAAAATAAGCAGGGTGACAATATACAGCCTTGACATACTCTTTTCCTGTTTGGAACCAGTCTGTTGTTCCACATCCACTTTTAACTGTTGCTTCTTGACCTGAATACAGGTTTCTCAAGAGGCAGGTAAGGTGGTCTAGGATGCCCATCTCTTTCAGAATTGTCCACAGTTTGTTGTGATCCACACAGTCAAAGGCTTTGGCGTAGTCAATAAAGCAGAAGTAGATGTTTTTCTGGAACTCTCTTGCTTTTTTGATGATCCACAGGATGTTGGCAATTTGATCTCTGGTTCCTCTGCCTTTTCTAAAACCAGCCTGAACATCTGGAAGGTCACAGTTCACGTACTGCTGAAGCCTGGCTTGAAGGATTTTTGAGCATTAATTTGCTAGCATGTGAGAAGTGCAATTGTGCAGTAGTTTGAGCATTCTTTGGGATTGCCTTTCTTTGGAATTGGAATGAAGACTGACCTTTTCTAGTCCTGTGGCCACTGCTGAGTTTTCCAAATTTGCTGGCATATTGAGTGCAACACTTTCACAGCATCATCTTTTAGGATTTGAAATAGCTCAGCTGGAATTCCGTCACCTCCACTAGCTTTGTTCATAGTGATACTTCCTAAGGCCCACTTTACTTTGTATTCCAGGATGTCTGGCTCTAGGTGAGTGATCACACTATCATGGCTATCTGGGTCATGAAGATCATTTTTGTATAGTTCTGTGTACTCTTGCCACCTTTTCTTAATATCTTCTGCTTCTGTTATGTCCTTGTCATTTCTGTCCTTTATTAAGCCCATCTTTGCATGAAATGTTCCCTTGGTATCTCTAATTTTCTTAAAGACATCTCTAGTCTTTCCCATTCTATTGTTTTCCTCTTTCTTTGCACTGATCACTGAGGAAGGCTTTCTTATCTCTCCTTGCTTTTCTTTGGAACTCTGCATTCAAATGGGTATAGCTTTCCTTTTCTCCTTTGCCTTTCGCTTCTCTTTTCTCAGCTATTTTTAAGGCCTCCTCAGGCAACCATTTTGTCTTTTGCATTTCTTTCTCTTGGGGATGGTCTTGATCCCTGCCTCCTGTACAATGTCACGAACCTCCATCCATAGTTCTTCAGGCACTCTATAAGATCTAATCCCTTGAATCTATTTGTCACTTCCACTGTATAATCGTAAGGGATTTGTTTTAGGTCATACCTGAATGGTCTAGTGGTTTTCCCTACTTCCTTCAATTTAAGTCTGAATTTGGCAATAAGGAGTTCATGATCTGAGCTACAGTCAGCTCCCGGTCTTGTTTTTGCCGACTGTATAAAGCGTCTCCATCTTTGGCTGCAAAGAATATAATCAATCTAATTTCGGTGTTGACCATCTGGTGATGTCCATGTGTAGAGTCCTCTCTTGTGTTGTTGGAAGAGGGTGTTTGCTATGACCAGTGTGTTCTCTTGGTAATACTCTGTTAGCCTTTGCCCTGCTTCATTCTGTACTCCAAGGCCAAATTTGCCTGTTACTCCAGGCATCTCGTGACTTCCTGCTTTTGCATTCTAGTCCCCTATAATGACAAGGACATCTTTTTTGGGTGTTAGTTTCTCAAAGGTCTTGTAGGTCTTCATAAAACTGTTCAACTTCAGCTTCTTCAGAATTACTGGTCAGGGCATAGACTTGAATTCTCGTGATATTGAATGGTTTGCCTTGGAAATGAACAGAAATCATTTTATCATTTTTGAGATGGTATCCAAGTACTGCATTTTGGTATCTTTTGTTGACTATGATGGCTACTCCATTTCTTCTCAGG